CGGAGCCGAGGACACGGACGTGATTTTTCCCTGAACCGGAGCTGCGGTTTGTGGTTTTGTTTAACATGAATATTTGATTGGCCCGATTGGCCCGAGCAGCAGAAAGAAACCGCTGCCGGTTTCCTCCCGAAACGCTCTTCCGTCTTGGGGGATTGAGGGGGTGGCGGTTGACTTAGATTTGCCACGTTTCATTAACACTGAACCCTGTTAGCGTCCAGACCGGCCGAGAGAGGACAAAGAAACCAAAAACAGCCGTAAACACCGAACACCACCTGGCAGGTTAGTACCGCGGCGCTGCACATTCCTTTTAATCTCATTTGGCTGCCTGACAGCACAGAGAGCTGGCAGCAGTGAAATCATTTTGTGTAAGTTAAACGCTTTCTAATGAAAAGACTCCCCGAAAAGGCACACAGGGAACGACTCCAAGGAGTCCCATTTCTTTTTCCTACAAAGCTGTGCAGGTTTTCTTTGGCACCTTGCTCTCCATGTGGCCCTGATACTCCAGGTCACGTTTCTTTAATCCTGCTCGCTGGCTGGCTCAGACTTGTTTTAGTTGGGTGTTTGCCCGGGTGAGTGCAGGTGTAACAGACTGGTTTTAGTGTCTAGGCGTACAACCATGTGTGGTTTTCTAATATGCGGTTTAAAGGGTGAAGCTGGGGAAGGTGGAGGTTTTAGTTCCACGCAGGGTGAATCTTCAGTTGATATTTCAAAAAAAATTTTCCTCAGTAATGTGTTTTTATCTGCTGCAAACTCGCACTGGGTGACTTTACCTACCAACCTGGCACAAATAAATGCTAATGTAGTGTTTTAAAGCAGATATTGTGAAGTTATTTGAATTGCACAGTTTAAAAAAGAGTGACTTTGGAGCACTAAAAATAAGACAGTTTGTGTTGCAGAGCATCAGCCTGTGTGTAATTTCTGTAGTTAAATTGGATAATTGTGCACAGAGGCCCAAACCGTTTTTTTGTAGCAGGCTCTAAATGCATTTATTTCTGCTCTAACGTGAAACATTTTAACATCAAAGTCTATGGGGACCGACTCCTATCTGGAGCGAGCCTTAAATGGACATTAGAGGAAGTAATGGAGCAAAGGAGAGCTGTCGCTTCATAGTAAGAAAGATCTCACTTTAAATCCTGCCTTTCTTTGTGGTTCCTGCGTTGGTGGGTTCTCTACAGAAGACCAGCTGAGTTGATGAAGGGCTTATGAAAACAGATCCTAATACTGGTTCATGCATTAAAAAAAATAGGTTTTTGCTAAATAAAAAGGTTATTGATTGATTTGTCTCTCCAGCTTAGCTTTGAGATTTGCGGCTAATAGACTTAAATTAGTTTATGTTAGCTAACTAGTGACAGAACCGATAACTCAGAGGAAAATGAGGGACTAAACCTAAACTCAGTCCAAGGGGATCACCTTTGAGTTGCTCCTGGCTGTAACAATGAGTTTTATGTTAACAAACCAAAGATATTCTTTACACTTTCACTCTCTCTGTCTTTAGCAGTAAAGGAGTCATCATTGTTTGGACTGGTTCTTATATAGCGCTTTTCTACTCTGTCCGAGCACTCAAAGCGCTTTATACAGCTAATTCATTCACCCAATCACAGCCATTCACACAAGCACTTCTAAGCTTAAGTGCTAAGTATCTAACATTCATACACATTCACACTCCGATGGATGCATCGGAGAGCAACATGGGGTTAGTATCTTGCCCAAGGATATTTGGCATGCAGACTGGAGCAGCCTGGGATCGAACCACAGACCTTCTGGTTAGTGGCTGATCCGCTCTGCGAACTGAGCTACAGCCAGCTGCACTAAAAATCCACCTGTTAGCTGTAATGTTCAGGTTTGTAAAGCATTTTATAGATGAGAACAATGTTGAAGTTCATGAAAATTACACATTCAGAGCCTTTGAGTCTTATTCAGTTATCGGTCCATTAAATGGCTCTGAGCGGAACCTACCAACAAACCAACCCGGTGACATTCTGTACTTAAAAATTAAAAACTATAACTTTAAAAAAGGGTGGAGTGCCCACTCTGGGTCAGGGACAAGACCCTGCCCCAAGTGGAGGAGTTTAAGTATCTCGGGGTCTTGTTCACAAGTGATGGGAGAAGGGAGCCGGAGATCGACAGACGGATTGGTGCAGCGGCTGCAGCGATGCGGATGCTGTACCGGTCTGTTGTGGTGAAGAGAGAGCTGAGCGTAAAAGTGAAGCTCTCGATTTACGCCCCTACCCTCACCTATGGCCACGAGCTGTGGGTAGTGACTGAAATAACAAGATCGCGAATACAAGCGGCAGAAATGAGCTTCCTCTGAAGTGTGGCTGGCCTCTCCCTTGGAGATAGGGTGAGAAGTTTGGCCATTCAGGAGGGGCTCAGAGTAGAGCAGCTGCTCCTCTACATCGAAAGGAGCCAGTTGAGGTGGCATGTCCAACTGGGAGGAGGCCCTGGGGCAGACCCAGGACACGCTGGAGAGATTATATTTCTCGGCTGGCCTGTGTTCCCCCGGATAAGCTGGAGGAGATGGCTGGGGAGAGGGAGGTCTGGGCTTCTCTGCTTGGGCTGCTGCCCCTGCGACCCGGCCCCGGATAAGCGGAAGAAAATGGATGGATGTTAAGCACAGAGTTCTTAACTTCAGCTTCACAGACAGAGTTACATGTATTTACATTTCCTGAGCAGGGCTTCAAAGTGTAAATCCACATAGTGTTTCGTGTACACTTCAAGATGCTGCAACAAATCATTTTGTTTCTTTCAGAACTGTGATTTTTTTTTTTTTTTTTTTTTAATTGAAATATTTTCCATTTCTGTTGTCCATCAAATTACTTAAGCTAATGTTTCAGTGGTTAGAGATGACAGAAGACGGAGATGAAGTTTGCAGCCTCTCGCAGCCATTTTCAACTGGTGTTAAAATGGAAACTCAAACAGTCAGTCCATCAGTCTACATTGAATTGGATAAATTTGGCAATTATGTGCAATCTGTTTGCAACAATAGGGTAAATCAGTAAAAACTGCTAATCTGATGCTGCTTAAATGCAGAGAAATTCACATTAACGGTTTACCTTCAGAGTCCTGCCAGAACCAGATTTGAAATAGAAATCCAGAAATAGTGACGTTGTTGCTGCCAAACTGCAATTTAACAGCAACATGAGACAAGCGCTCTTTGATATTGGAACCAGAACAAAATGAAGAAAGATCATAAAGAAACTCAGTGTAATTAGCTCTTTAGTTTAAGATGAGAGTACCTCTGTGCAACCTCAGAAACAGCTCGCACGTACACACTGTGTACAAACCATTATCCTGCAATATGATGCTACTGTGCAACTGCAAGACCAGTGTATATTCAGGTTTTGCTGTCCACTAACTAGACCACTATTCACGTGACTTTAACAAAGGTCCAGTCACACAGGCCTAGAGACCAGTGAACCCTGGTCACTGCTGGTCGCTAATGTATTATTCCCTGACTGGTTGGCAAATAGTTGCTGGCAGTTGCTAGGTGAAATTGGTTGCTAAGATACGGTGCTGAATCAGAAACTACCTTGTGATTGGTTTGGTCACTCGCAGATTACCACAGTTGTCCACAGTTTCCATGAAATACGCTGACTTCTGCAAACACTCACCAAGTTGCAAAGACAGAAATATTTCCTGTGTTTTAGACCAAATGCACATAAGATAGTAAAGCTGTGCAAGACATTATTATGCCACGCTGGTTTATTGATGGATTGTATTTATTTATGTATTTTATATATTTTCTCTTTTACTGCAAGAGGGCTCTAATGCAAACGAATAATGTTAAGTAGTAAACTGTGAAAACTGGAAATGGGGAACATTGGCCTTCAAAATAAAAGTTGTGCCTCACCACTACAGCCAAAGCATTCCAAAGTTTTACTTTGAAGGAGAAAATTTTCTGCTTCGTCTTTGTGTCTTAATTTTCCAAGTGTTACTTACACTCTGAGAGCAGTGAGCCAGTGTTTGCAGACTAGTCTGCGTTTTCCATGCAAACTACGAGTGACCACAGCCATCTACTGCCCACCCAAGCAGTCACAGAGAGGTTTTTGGTGCAGCACAATATGTCTCTTTGCAACCAGCCTCCTACAACGACTGGGCCAGTCCCTAGGACTTTGTGCCTGAGGCGTCATTAACCATTTCCGGGTCCAAACCGGAATACACCGTGTTCTGACTGAGGGATTAAAACGTGTTCAGGTTAAATATAATAAAATATTAAGCATTAAAATGCGTTATAAAGACAACAGCCTTAATGAACGGAGTAGGAGTTTGGACTGGAAGCAGGATTTATATGTCATCCGTTAACAACAAGATTCAATGGACTCCACAGCATCAACTTAATATTTCAGATGGAAATGTTTAATTTGCATAGCATAGTAATAAAAACTTAGAAATCCTAACAAATTCATTAGATTATGACTTAAATGTGTTTCAAATGGCTGTATGCTGCCCTTGGATGATGCTGCCTAAATAGAGTAAAAGAGAAGTGAGAGTTTTTACTTCAAATCAAGCTTCATGTTTGATCTGAGTAGCAATGAAACCAAATCACACTGCAGAGAGAGACACGCTCAGTTTGATTAACAGCTGAGCTGGTCATTAAATAAAATGCATGTTCTGCGGTTGAAAATAAAAACATTGCATGTCTGAAGCTTTGTACTCGCAGGAGCTGAGCGTCTGCTCATTTGTGCCTCGGCTGTGAAGGAGGGACCGTTTGATTACATGCAGATAAACCGCAGTGGAAAGTTGTAAATCAGTCAGGTTCAGGCTCGAGGTGCTTCTCACAGGAGTTAAATAAATAGTCTGTTTGGTGTAATCTGCTGACAGCCTAGGTAATTTTTTTCTCTTTCCTCTGCAGGTATTTTGAACATTTGCAGTATTTGCAGATCTTCTCTGATATCTGTGGCTTCAGGACAGAGGCTGATTTTGGTGCATGTGCAGAGTTGCTGTAGCTGCAGTTTCATACCGGCCCACCTCATTTTCTCCGCTTTTTCTTTTCTCTGCAGACACAAAGACGGCTATTCCCTCCCAGCCCTTTCCAGTTAAGAGAATATAAAGGATCGGACGGCACATGAGAACACCACCACAGGTGAGAGGGGACTGGTTTGTGTCCTTCATGTAGACTCGTGTGCTGCAGCCAGGAGAGAACATGATGCACACTCAGCAGGACTTCATTGTGTAAAGTGGAGCTGATTAAGAAGTGGTAGTGTTATCAGATGATGCAGAGACCTTCCTCCTCCTTCTCCCAGTGTGAGATTAGCTCTAAACCCAAACACGAACACCTGTGTACGCCTTTACAGCACGATAAAATAATCACAGTAAGATAATCTGTCCTGCTAGTCTAAACCCCCGATTGGTTTAAAGCTGCTGTGTGTTTAGGCAGATGACCAGTGAGTAATTAAACCTCCCAAAGGAGGACGACTAAACCCTGACCTGACGCTGCTGTTTAGTACAAACTGTCCTGAGCCCACCTTTTACCTCCTCTCTGATCCTCTTTCGGGGTCTGAGTCGCCACAAAGCTGCGAGGTAATTTCAGAGCATCTCCCCCCAACAAGAAAAACCCTGGAAACCACATCTCTGAAAGGCTTTCAGAGGAAGATAAACCACGACAGCGGCTTGCAGCCTCCACCAGGGTCACACGCCTTAAAGTCTTTGTTCTGCTGTGCCGGCTCCTACATCACTCCGTGTACGTTTAGAAAGAGATTCTGAACCCTTGAAAAGGCTGAAGAGTTTACTGCTGAGATTAACTGCAACACCGGAGAAGTTTGAGGGCAGAAAGCAGCATTTTGGATCCACAGTTACTGGAAAAATATTTATTTTACAGGGCTCTGGAAGTGGATGTACTTAACTGCTTAATTAAATTAATTAAATTCTATTCTTAAATACTTTTGTAATCTGTTGATTTCAGTTTTATTTATATGAAATCTCAAAATAAATTAAAAAAAGCCTGGTAGTGTAATGTAGCTCCAGTTTTTCTCCCCTGAAACTTAAACTTACCACTGCTGTTTGTTTCATATAAATAATGAAAGTACCAATTTTCTGTAATATTAATGGAGGAGAAACCACAACTGAATGACAAGAAAACTCAACACTGAGACTTGGCTTTGAGTTCCATGAATATTGAAAACAAAACCTGCACTGAATACATCTTGGTGTCTGGAGCTCTCTCAAACCCACATGAATAATTACAGGGGACATTAAGCTACAGTGATGATAGGGACAGCTAATAAATCTCCCTTCTTTGACTGTGTAAGTTTGTGGATTTTGTAAACGATGGACCACAAATCGAGAGAGTTTATTGATATGTCACATCGACCAAAGTGCTGCAAAAATATTAAAACAAATGAAGCCATTAAGAAGCAATTAAAACCATCGGGTAAACAAATCAAGCCATTAAAGGCAATTAAGAAAGCCCATCGTGTGGTAATCTACAGGGCTCGTTAACAGTGTAGGGTAAAACTGGTCCTAATCCGGGAAAGTTTGAGGGTAGATGTCCTGATATGGAAAGAAAAACTGTTTCAAGATTTATAGCAGAAAAAAGTAATCACTAATTTGTTATGTAAAGCATAAATTTACCTATTTATTGTTATACATTTTTTCTGGCTGTGGTGCCAAAGTTTTAATTCCCCAAAGGCTGCTCAACGACTGACATGTAAAACACCGATCTTGTTTCTTGTCTCTTTGAAACAGGAACTCGGACTCATCGCGGCCTCATTCAGTCACTCGGTTTAAATTCAAGTTGATGCAGAGCTGAGGAGGTTTCAGGACAAACCGCTGGCTTCTACACTCCCCAGCGCTCTGAGCTTCATACCAGAGGACAACCAGCCATCGGGGAAAACAAACGTTTAGGCCATTTTAAAAATGTCAGAAAGCTGTCGTCTGCAGCTGACGATGAAGAGGAGCTCAGGGGACGACCACAGCATCGATCGGGTTGATATCGATTGACCCTGGACTGCTTTTATATATGTCTGCTGACTCTATATGTCTGTAGGCTGTGTGTCACATGATTAGGAAGTAATCTGATGGTTCCCCCAGATGTTAATGCAATTTACAAAAAAAAAAAAAGGTCTCCAGTGGTGGGTAGCAATTTGTTTCATACCAGCATAATTTTATGATGTTCAGATAATATTTTCTAGATAAATAATAGAGATGTTCTTTAACTTCCTATTGTACACCTGAACCTTATATATCGAGTGAAGATGCAGTAGTGATAAAAAAAAAGTTATTACTTTTCTATCAAGTTTGATTCAAAGGACATTTGGATGCTTAATGAGGTTAAAATATCCAGTATTTATTCTTTCTCTCATCCCTTATTAGATTTATTATGCCCCATATTTAATTTTTGTAATGTTTTATGGTCTCGTCTTAATCCCAAGGTTGGGAATCTAGAGCTTTAAACTATGGCTAGCTGCAGTGCAGTGCTGAGCTAATGCTGATTGCTCAAGACGCCGCGTTAGTAAAACGTGTATGCATTGGCCAACCTTGATGTTAACACCTGGATCCTTTAAGATGTAGCCACAGGGTTTTTCTTGGATGTTACTGCAGAAATTAAGCTGTGGGAATACTTCCATGTTTTTTTGCAAGATGATTTACACTTTAATGAAACACTAACAAACTGTTGACAAACTGTTGTAAAATTACGGAGTTCCTGTATTTGCTGTGAAAATGTTGAGGATTACCATCACACCTTCTCTGCCACATGTAGTGGCTTCAAAATCCAGGAGTTTGGGTGATTACAGAATAGTTGTATCTATTTTATGATGTAGAACAAAACATGAAATCAGGTGACCCATCAATGGTTAAGGTTTGATTTTGCTTCAGCCTTGTTAAATAAGCAGATCGTTTAGAAATGAAAAGCTATTATCTTTCAAATGTGTTGTCACAAACTGAACATTACACTCACTGTGTGCTAGCTGCTAGTATTAAACATTAAATCTACAGTTACAACAAAACCTAAATAAAAATCCACCCACTTCCTTGACCTAACCCCGAACCCTTCTATAACAAAACCACAGTTAACCAAAGACATTTTTTCAGGCGTCAAAAAATAAACCTTTAACAAGACCCAAAGAGTTTTTCATGTAACACTATGTATGTGATTGTGTTTTCGGCATGGTAGTCATAAATCAAACACAGTACTTAGTGTTTGTTTCTTGTTTGCAGTTTTTGGTTGTGACTGTAATGCTAACTGCTAAAATTTAAAACTTTTTAGTCTTCTAATAATACATTTAACAGTGACAGAAACAATTCAACACAGCTAAACATAAAACAATACCACAAGCCATTTAGCATAAAGGCCCAATAAAAATATGGTGCTTTTAGCTAGTTAACAACTTTTGCATGAGTTTGTGGTTCTGTCTTTTTTGCTACCTAGCTAACATGGCGACTACTTAAAAGTATTGAGCATTCTCAACATTTGGACTGTTTTAATTTCACTATCCCTATTATGATACTGACCACTACTGTTACTATGGTCGCTGACAACAATTTGACAGCAAAAGTGTAAAGTACACAATTTGAGATGCAGTGCAGTTGTCTACAGCTACAATAACTGATCAAAGGTGGCACCATTAGTGGGTGGCTGAATGCTAACATAGTGCCCGCTTTATTGAATACGTTTCTAACATTTGCATGCTAGCATACTAACATTTTACAGCAGAGCTGGGAGAGAATTAATTTGATCAGGTGGTGGCGCTAGAGGAACTGTCAGAGGATAACCAACGTTTTTATTGTTCATCCATGATAGTACATATAGCTCTCAAAGTTCTAAATATATGCAACATGGATTCATGGATTTATCCTTTGTGTACATGCATTAACTATCCTTAATGTAATATTAGCTCTTACATGCTCTGACAGACACCGTGAACTAGAAACGTTTACCGTGTAACTCTTGGTGTTATCTAATTGTTCCCTACATTGTTTGTGATATTTCTGTAATTTTTATTTACATTCTGCTGCTATTACACAGGAAGTCAAGCAATACGCAAAACCCCCCTAAAGTTCATTGAGGGGATTAATTTGAACTCAAGTACCGCATACCATCAAAGGTGCGACTTGCACACCTGTGAAATGTACATTTGAGTCAGTTTAGAGGCTTAGAAGTGGATGTAGTTGCCATAAACTTAAACTGCACTGCAAAGAGTTAGTAAATTGAGCTAGCTGAAAACCATGTTGCAGCAACAAAGCTAGTAATATATCCTTTGGATTAGGATTATTTGTCATTGTTTGGTTAGAAAGCATGGATGAACTTTTAGTTATTAGACAGTTAAACAGGACGCCAGTTATAAACTTTCTCTTGCGTGATGCATTTACATATGTTAGTCTATATTATGGTGCAAATTTGCACCAACATGAACTGGTAGTGGTCAGTTTACGTGAGTTAAACTGTCAAATCTGATGTTGTTTCAGGGCAGCTGGAGCTATACAGTTCAAATTCACTTTTACACAGAGACGAGAAAAAAAAGTTAAGAGCTTGGAGTAAATGAAGTTGTCATAGACTTTCCTTTGCAAAAAAAAAAAAAAAAAAAAAAAGGTGAACAGTCAGCAGTGTTAATGTTTGTCTGAAAACAAGTAAACCCTAGGACACAGCAATTTGTCCACGCTAGCACGTAAGCTAATATTATGTAGAGAAAAAAAAAAAAACGGAATTCTGATTGACATCAACAAAATGTATATAATTTATATGTAAGTGCTTATTACACTGGGCACAGGAAAACAAATATTTTGGAAATCTGTCAGAAATATTTGCTTAAAACTAAAAATTATATGGTTTATTAGTCAAACTGAAAACTAATGTGGTTTTGCCCAAATGTAAGCCGCCATGCAGTTCTATTCTGAAAAGCCAGAAATGAATCAAACAGAACGTTCAGTTCGTCATTCTGCTCAGGAATGCAAGTAAATAACTGTAATTTGGCATTTTAAAGAACAAATTATTTGCATTTTTTTGGTTAAAAAAATGCATGGATAACAATAATTAACAATAACAATAAGCATCCCAATGCAACGGTATTCATGTTTGATGTGAACACACCATAAAACTGGTGAGCGGGCCCTGTAAATCTCTTCCTGCTGAGGGGCTCGGGACACATTTTTCATTGTGTTAGAAACTGAAAAAAAAAAACAGAACAAAAGAAGCTTTTTGTTTTTAGTTTCATTTATATGGCGTTATACTTGTAAATGAATTCTGTGGAGTCAAATGATCTTCCATTAAAGTCGTAGGTAGTAAGACCAAATCTTACCTTTCTCAGGATTAATCTTACTCGCACGGATCATGTCACAGATCAAACCGATACTTAAACTTCCCAAATGCTGTCGTCTTATTGATGTAAACACTGTTCGCTGTTTTTGTCTCAAATCAATGCATCTACTGATGGTTATTGCTGCTTGTGTGGGGAGGGAAGCCTCCCCCAATGACTGTAATGTGGACTTTTCTTATTTAAAGTCTTAAAATATTATGTGTTTGTTTCACAATCAGTAGTTGAAAATACAAAACTGTGCTGAATAAAACTCCATCTTCTTCATTTTGAAAGCATTTTCTCTGAGGTGGAAAAGAGGAGGCGAGAGGTGAGTGAAACATGGAATGCTTTTATTCATCCGTTAGAGATCAGCGTTAGAAAAATGACAGTGGACAAAGGCAGTGCTTCCCCAGGAATGATTGCAATGTGTGGCGAGAAACAGATCGCAGCAAATCCACAAGACTTTCTTTGCATGTTATGGAGGAAAATATCTCGAGGTCATCACTTGGTTAAAACAAACACTGAGGTCTTAATGACGGCAAAGCTCAGAGCGCGTCCCCTTTACACTCAGCATTAACACGTGTACTGGCACATTATATACAAATGCCAAGCTTGGTGAAGTTGATCTTTGTATTTGGTACAGATTTTACTGAAGAAATTTGAGGTTTTCTGACCTGCTTCAAACACGGCTGGAATCCTTACAAATGAAAATTCCTGGACCAGTCTGATTTTCCATGTTGATGTTTTTTAAAGCTATTATTTGGCAAAATGAATCATGAAGATTATACGGTCTCCAAGATAGTCCTGCTGCAGTTCCCCCCACACTGATGATGGGCCTTTTCCCCAGCAAAACATTTTGTGTCTATCAACAATGGCCGCAGTCCACTCGGCTCCTGGTTCAGTGCGATGGCTTAGTAAATGGAACCGAGCTAGGTCAACATGTCTGCTGTGGAAGAGGCCCACACACCAAGCTCGCAGTGGGTCCAAAATTGTAATCTGACCCTCTGATCAGTTTGGTTGGCATTTCTAGTCTTTCTCTGGCTCCAGTAGGCAAGACTGTACGCAGCTTTTAACAGGAAATGTCCCAAAAGGACTCACTTAACTATTGATAGCAGTCGTTCTAACCTAATTAGTACCCAAATGGTATGATTTCATCAATTGTTGATGTTGACGTGTGATATATGGTTTTTGATGACCTTATATTGTTGCATGTCTCAGATACAAATTGGGCCTCGTTTGTTTACGATGTGGGAATTAAATTCCCCTTTTCAGTGATCGTGCTCAGAGCCCAATGCCAAAAACCTGAGTCAGCCTCTTTTGTGATAATTCAGGTTTTGTATAGCCAGCTAAAGCAGCTAAAACAAAAGCCTGGCTATGCAGAGCATGCTTATATTAAACCCCTCTGCTACATGCAGTTGTTTATATAATCTACTTCTGAGATTAATAAAATAATGTTTAAATCAAGTTTTAGGTTCTTTTTAAATTTAGCTGGTGGTAAGTGAGCCGTCTTCATCAACTATCAGATCCATCCTGGCTGTGCTGTTATCGCTGTCTGTAAAGGGGTTCGGCTACTTTGCAACAAGACAGATGTTCATGCTTTCAGACAATCTCAGCCACATTTTTCTTGTGCAGAGCATCAAAGGGGGAACAGAAAGCTTGGGAACAAACAGGCTCGGGGGAATAACGCAGTGCGACGTCACCACAGATTGTCTGTCATTGTTGTTTTTTTTTCTTCTAAGTAATGACAAAAGAGGCCTGTTTTTTCCTTCTTAGCTGAGTTTGTGTGATTTATTGCTTGACGATCTCATGTGCCCAAGCCGATGAAGTAGAAACTGTTCTTTGAAAAATAAACTTTTACATTCCAGTAGGAATAACACTGCTGTCTGCACATACCGCCCTATAGAAAATATTCAGTGTTATATGAATGTTCCAGTTTGAGGCCAAGTACCAGTGCATCGTAGAGTTCGTGCTCGAAAGCTTCTCACACAGCAGGGAAATGTCCAGTCTGACAGAATATCTTAACAACTGATTCCAAACCATATTGTTTTGTGCTACCTTGGGATTCGCTGCACTTGCAAATTACTAAACAAATCAAATTCAAAGTGTTGAAGCATGGCTGAGTTATTCAGGTCTCTTTTTGCGGTGCTGATCTGTTCTGAAAAACACCACGAACACGTGGAGTCGTATCTCAGCACTCAGCAGTTGCATAATTAATTCACATTTTCTGCTCGGCTCCTTAAACAGAAATTAATCATGGATGGGGCTCCGCTAATGAGGAAAAAAACCAAAAACAAGGTTTCATGTCCGGAGCCACGTTTGGTCTCAAAAGGTTTTTGGACCCTTTACTAATTTAAATCACATACCATGAGAAGAAACAAAAGAATCACGACATGAAAAAATCAACAAGGTCTCAAGTTACATTCAGCTGGAAAAACAGGAGGTAATTAAAAAAAAAAAGTATTTGTAAATATTGGATTTAATTCGGTGGAATAATCGGACACCCATGCATGCAGCCTCGTGGTGAGAGCTTGCAGCTCCTTGTGCGAGTTTCTCTTTTTCACCCTCCAATAACCGCATGAAGACGACGTAAACAGCAGCTTTTAAGTCGGAGCGGGATCACCAGCTAGCTGTTAAGACGGAAGCGACACACCTGTGAGATTTCAGTGTAATCATCAGGATCATCAGGAATGCATAATTGCAGAGGAATTAAACTTGTTCTGGGGAGGCAGCTTTGAATAAACAAACAGAAAGTCCTACCTTTCAGCATTTAAACCCTGTTAAAGTAGTATTAAGGCCTCATAGTTAGACTTGCACACATGTTACAGAAATGTTGGAAAACAACCGGATGTGATCATTTAGCATGATTTTTCGTTTCTGCATAGGGTTCAATGCAAAACTTCCCCGCCCTGCCCCCACTGAGGAACCAAAAGCCAGTGAGAACGAAAACTCATCAAACGGAGGAAAAACAAAAGGACAGTTGAGAAAAACAAAACGCCGTTCACGTCGAACGCCTTGGAGTCAGAACCTGTGCAGCGCGCCCGCACTCCATCTGTGTCAGGTAGCTGGTGCATTCGTCCCTTTGTTTGCAGCGCGAAGCCCCGCCTCCGGGCCCCGTCACTTGAACATGCTCTGCAGCATGGCTGTGGCGTAGGTGGGCCGCGCCTGCCGGCTCTCGATGGCGCTGCGGAGGTACTGGATCCCGCCGCAGCGTTCCCAGATCTCCTCGAACTGCCGGGGGAGGATCTCGGCGCCCCGCTTCCTCGAGAGGCCCGTCTCCTCCAGGCTCAGCTCGCACATCTCCATGTCGTCCTTTCCTGTGAGAAGAAACGAGTCAGAAAAGAAAAAAAAGACGTGAAACGCAGTGATGAGGAACTCAAACAAGGCCAACTGCACTGTCAACAAAAATGCTTGCAGAATAGTTTCACACTGGAAAACCACCACGAGTCTGTGGCAATAGTTCACATCTCTCATTTGGAAGTTTTACTTAACTGAGAGAACCAAGTGCAGATGCCTGTTGTATAAAGAAATGTATTTCTCTCTGGATAGCAAAGTCATTTTAGCCATTTTTCTTCTTTCAATGCATTCATTTAATTATTTACTATTTTAGATCCTCTCCGATTCTAAGTTTGCTCAAAGTTTAATACAAAGTTAAAGAATAAATTAGTTAAAGTGTAAAGCTGCTATTAGTCTCAAATAGGAAAACAATGGGAGAGATGTCTATGAGAGTTATAAACCCTTTAAAGAAAAATATAAAAGTTGTGTTAATAATAAATGCCACAAAATAAATGTAAAGCTAAATATGATTGCATATTTACACAAATCAGTTTGATATTTAACAAAAATATCAAACTTAAATAAAATGTTGAATGCTAACATCTTGAACACATTTCTTTGTTGTGCATATTGTTATATAATGCTAAACTAACGTTCGTAAGGTTAGCAGCCTTAACAGCCTTTGTTTAAAAAATGTAAGAATTTTTAACTTCCTCTGAAATATTTTGTTACGACACGAGAATAATGTTGATAATAATGTTCTGATACAGTATATATATATTTTTTTTTACCATGTTAATAGCTCAAATGTATGTACTTAGCATGTTAGCATGCTAAAATACTAAATGTATAAATGTTGTTAAACTGCACCATAAACTAAAAAAGTTTTTTATCTCTAAAATGGGGAGAAATTATGGTGGTAAAATTAGACATTATTGTGAAACATGTTGACAACTGACAAAAAACCCAGAGCTGCTGCTAGCATATCTAAAATGTTAGCTAAAAATAACGTCATCTTAAATAGAGATTATGTAAATGGGGTTTAAATGTGAACAAAGGGAAAAAAACACAATACAAAGTTTTTCTAAATATTTCACCAATAATCTTTTTTTATAGATGTGGTTGCTATCTACTTTTACATTAGAGGCTTAAACACAGCCAAAGTTTCAAATAATGAGTTAAAAGTAGCTAAAAGTAATTTTGCTTCATTTTCAACAGGAACAGCAGACAAACATCGTGACTGCCGCAAAGTACGAGCAGTACAACTGACAAGCTCCTGGTGCTGCCGGCAGGCTTCCAGAAGCTGGCCAATTAGATGTTTGGGGGTCTTTAAAGGAAGGGCCCCTCAAGGAGACAAACGCTAATACAGAGCATATTTATACTCAATTTCAGCTCTTTTAGCAGACCAAATGTTCCCAGTTAGTGCAAATACACCTCTGTAATACTAAAAAACTATACAGCAGTACAACACTGAAAATTAAAAACCAACAACCAAAATTTTATGGGCAGAAACATGAATTGCGTGTTTAGGTTAACTAAACCCTCTTAAGATATACTGAAGGGCATCCTAAAAGGCCAATATTTGATCATTCAAGTCTTTTGACCTGTCAGT